CACATATCTTGTTGATTTTAAGAGAAGATTTTGATATGCGTATTAGGGTTTTGCCTTATTTTCTTCTTATTACTCGATTTCTCATAATATCTTATATAATCTATTAATTTTAATTGTGTCTCATGATTATTCTTACTAATAATACACACATATTGTTTAGTAATGATGATTGAATTATCTAATTTACAAAGATAGTTGTTCGTAAACTGTTGAATGTATGTGTAGTGATATTTGAATATTCAAAACTTACAAGTAGTGAGAAGATTTAGAAGATGAGGAAAAAGATTAAAAGCTTCATGTCCTTTTTTTTGTGAAGCTCGTTGGGATAGTATATCACTTTTTAGGAAAGCTCTCAAGCTTTTTTCAGTTGATTTGATATTATATGAACATTAAATTTCAACTTGATCAAAAACTCAAAAAGGGTTTTCTAAAAATCCAAACTTTTTTCATTTGTAATTCTATGTTTTTATTTTCAGACTGATAAAGCCACACTGCTCGCCAAAGTGGTTCAACGAGTGAAAGAACTTAAACAACAAACCCTAGAGATCTCCGACTCCGACCAAACCCTATTACCCTCAGAGACCGACGAGATTAGCGTTCTACACTTTGGAGACTATTCAAACGACGGTCATATAATCTTCAAAGCCTCTCTATGTTGTGACGACAGATCAGATCTCTTGCCGGATCTCATGGAGATTCTCAAGTCTCTTAACATGAAGACTCTTCGAGCTGAGATGGTAACTCTTGGTGGTCGGACAAGAAGTGTTCTTGTCGTAGCTGCCGACAAAGAGATGCACGGTGTCGAGTCTGTGCATTTCTTACAGAACGCTCTTAAGTCGTTGCTTGAGCGGTCAAGCAAGTCATTGATGGAACGTAGTTCTGGTGGTGGTGGAGGAGAACGGTCAAAACGGCGCCGTGCGATGGATCACATCATAATGGTGTGACTTGAGAACATGATAAAGTTTTATAATTGATTAATACATAGGGTATGATCATAATTAACTTGGTTATAATTACCAAAACCTCTTTTTTTAATTTACTTTTTTTTTGTGTTTTGTGGTTTTAGTTTATTAAGTCGTGGGAGTGTAAGCAAATGTTGTAAGTAGGTTTGGTGTGTA